GACAGTTGCTAAATCTATTTGATTATGACTACAATAAGTAAATGTAGTAAGTGTTATTAGCAGCGTGCACCTTGAAGTGGAGCTTGGTAGTTTGATTATTGGTAAAGTAGTATGAAGGAGTTGTGATGACCGCACCCACTATCTAAACAAATATAGCAAAAAAGCTAAGAAAACTTAAAGGTGTAGTGGAGGATGTTATTTTTCTGGGTGGATCATTAAAATAAGTGGTTCTACTAAATGTCAATTATTCTAGTGGTATGTTTACGTAAGGCCGTCCTGCGTGCTCGGGCCTATTTTTACGTTACGGTGGCGAGTCTGACATAGTGGAAAAATTGCAAATCTTCTTTTGGAAAGTAAGCTTGTATGAGCAATGCAAACAGCAACTTTTAAACAGAGCGTGCACGAGGAGAAATGGGCTTTTCCCCGCTCTTGTACTGTTTTAATTGGCGTTGTTTCTCTGGGGTGATGATGGGGTTGTGCATGTGTATTTTTTGAAAAATTTGTGAAAATCCTCCACTATCCCTTTAACAATGTCAAAGGGTGAGCTGATGATCAGAACAACTAAATACAAGCATTTTTTTTTTTATTCAATGCATGCATATTGTAAAAAATGTTGCAGAATAAATATGGTTGTGTGTGTAACATATGGCTGCTGCACCATTTTTGATTAACAAGTGTATTCCTCTCTGTCAGATCGTTTAGGGCCCGCCCTGTGAATCTGCTGCCTTGCTCTGAAAAGTGAATGGCCCCAGCTCTAACAAAGATCTTAAAACATGACCACGGCTCCTACCTCTCCTCTCCCTCTGCCTCTGTCAGGATGGACTCAGATGCCAGCACCATCATGTTCACTGTTGAGCTTGAGCCACACATGAGCTCCACAGATAATTGGGATCTGCAGGATATTTGTTTGGATCTTTGCTCTCTTAGCTATCTAGATGCTATAGATCTACCTGCACATCCTGTACCTTTGGCACGTGGCCCTACATCTTGCAGTCAGAATGAGACGATTGCACGGCCTGCTCCTGCCTCAATTGCCAACCTCCCCTGCTTCAGTAAATGCAATAAAGAATCTCATCAAGTGGCCACAGCCTTCCCAGGTGCATCAGGCATGTTTGTAAACCCTCTTCCAGAGCACAATAGCCAAGAGGCTTTCTTACTCTATGGACACAGTGTTCAGCCTGAATGTTGGCCAGATGGCAGTGATGTCCGCCCCTCCTCTCTTATCTATCCTAGTGTGTGTCCCTCCTTTTCCCATGGTGAGAAAACATTTCCAAATCCCAATTCCATGTGTGCAACCAACCCCACAATGATGTATGAGGAATTAGAGAGGTTGCTTGATCTTCCCTCCACTGCGGGTTTAAGGCAGCTTGGGACTGGCTTTATAAATCCTGACCAGCTGGAAACAAGAAACCTGCTGGAGGATGCTGCAAAGGGGCAGCTCTACAAGCAAGTTGAGCTTCAAGGCAGAGCTTGTAGGCTGCAAAAGAAACTTCAAGCCCTGCTGGGTGAGCATGCTCTGAAACACTGCAGCCAGCAGCTGGAGGGATTAAAGAAGCATTTTCAACTTGAAGATGTGCCTCTTGAGAACCTGGAGTCTGTCACACCCCCACAAACTCACTATTTGCCTTGTGAAGAGTCAGTTACATCCTCAGCCTTCTTTCCAGAGATGATGGATTTTTGTGAATCCAACCGGATTGTGCTGAAAGGACTGCAGGAGGCCTTGGACTCAGAGGCCACAGCCAGCAGCAGCTCTGATGACGAGTCAGAGAACGACATGCTTTTACCTTTGTAAGTAACAACAGTTAAAGTTTGTTTATTCAGTTAAATGTTTAATATTGTTTAAAGGGTTGTGATTATGCAATGCCCCTGGGTGGTTCTGGGCTGTAGTTTGGAAACCTTAATCATTGGATAATTGTTTCGGGCTTTTAATCATTTATATGAGCTATTTTTTGTTGTTTTTTCTTAAAAAAAAACACTTCTATAAATTAAAACAAAAAATAAAATAAGTGCTATCATATTAGATTTGTGTAAATTTTCTTTATTCCATTCAAAATTATGTATTTAGATTAAAAAACACATGCCCTGTTTGAGTTTTTTGTTAAATGTCTCTTAATAGGTCATAGAGAACCATTTTTGGTTGATTTATAAGGTCCTGGTGTTTGGCTTCGCCTCATTTTGTATAAATGTGCATTATCAGTATTAGTCAAAGTGAAGCTTATGTTGTCCTGCTTCATTCATTTCAGGGCCAGATTTGATTTGCTTTTGTTATCAAAGTTCAACCATCGGGTTTACGGGTCTATAATGGGTGGATTTTAAGGTCTTTCTCTTTAGCATTTATTAACATAAATGTTATAGAATGTTAAATGGACAAAATTTATATAGAGCTTTTTTACTTGTACTAATCATCAAAAGCACTTTACTCTCATTTATACATTGATATCTGGATCGGAAGGCAAGGTGGAGATATTCAGTATGTTATCCTAGTGCACATCGACATATTACAGGGGGAAGTTGGAATTAGACCCACAACCTTCCTACTGTCCACTGATTAAGAGTTGGCTATAGAACGAAAGAATGCTGTAAATCAGTCTGTGCAACATTGCAAACAAATAGTCATGTTATAAACTAGTGTTGCACCGATACCAGTATCGGACGGGGCCCCGAAACTGCCCTAAAATGGTGGTATCGGTATTGGCAAGTACCAACAAATAGGGCACCGATACCATTTTGAGAGCCATAAGTTTATTCAACTATTGTCACCCTCTCCTGGTAGGCAATAAAAAGTTCTACTGGATTCACTTTGTATTAGATTTTTTTCCTGCTTTACAAATGTAGGCAACTGCTTGACAAAGCCATGATGGCAATTATTTTACATTATTATGGTATCAGAATCGGCCGATACTGCACAGCCAGGTATCGGGTATCGGGGCCAAAAAATGGCATCGGCGCAACACTGTTATAAACCTTTAAAGTTTGCCCTGCAATCGAAGGGTTGACGGTTCAAACCCCGACTCCGACTTTCATTGTCGTTGTGTCCTTGGGCAAGACACTTCACCTGCATTGTCTACTGATGGTGGTCAGAGGGCCCGGTGGCGCCAGTGTACGGCAGCCTCGCTTCTGTCAGTGAGCCCCAGGGCAGCTGTGGCTACAATGTAGCTTGCCAACGTGAGTGTGTGCGTGTGAATGGGTGAATGAATGTAGTG